GACCAATCACAAGCCAGAGCCACGCGTCAGGCGCCTTCCATCCGAGTCCACCACGCTGGCCACGCCGCTCATTATATACAACATCTCATCCATGTCCTTCGCTGGTTGGCTGCCTTCCTTTCCCGCATGCCATTAGATCGCAGAGAGACACGCGATTGGCTGAGGCCAGGTGGTCCAATATGTCTGCGCCCTAATCCGACGCCACTGTAGATTACCCCAGACCTAATAGGTAAAAGACCGGTACAACAGAACAGGCTTTATTGACCAATCATAAGCCAGAGCCACGCGTCAGGCGCCTTCCATCCGAGTCCACCACGCTGGCCACGCCGCTCATTATATACTGCATCGCATCCATGTCCTTCTCTGGTTGGCTGCCTTCATTTCCCGCATGCCATTGGATCGCAGAGAGACACGCGATTGGCTGAGGCCAGGTGGTCCAACATGTCTGCGCCCTAATTTGACGCCACACCACACCACACTAAATTTTTTCTGAGAATGATTGTCTGTATTGCTGTTATTTCAAGCAAAAATAGTCCACTATTGATAAAAACCACAAAGCCATCAGAGCGTTTGTCTTTCCACTTTCGTGTTTACGGCTCTCTTGATATAATTGAAGATAAACTTATGGTTGGTTCTTCGAAGCCTTCCTTCAATGATAAAGATGCGACCAACAAGTACCTGGGCTTGTTATACACTATTGAGGACTACTGTATTTACGGATACGTCACTAATACTAACGTTAAGGTGCGCTTCGTTACATTCTGTGCCCAAGTTAGCTCATTATTTTGATTTTTCCGTAATTTTGGTATTTGCCCGTTAATGAGACCACACATGTGAGACGTCGTGTATTTTGTTGTCCATTCGCATCTAGCGTGCTTTCATATATCTTCCAGTTTAAATTTTATGGTCTTTTTCAGCTGCTGTTGTCATCTAAGTTTCGAATGTCCGAAACCACTGTGGGTGTTTCTTCAGTTTTTTCAGTTGGTTAACGACACGCCAGAATTTCACATATATTCTTTGCTTTAAGTAATAATTATGGTTTAGTGTGTTAGTCTATACATACAGGTCTAATATTTGTGAATTTGTAGCTAGACGTCTCTCCCTTTAATAATAAGTTCGAATTTTTTCACCATAATTAGTAATTAATTAGTTCATCCTTCTTACGTGGACGTATCGTATAAATTTTACTTGGCATTCTTAGTTTGTTGTAGTCCAGGAAGATCCTGGAACATTAGCCGATCTCCCGAAAGGCGGTGCAGCTGTGCCACCGGATAGCAAAGTGAAAAAGACTCTTGAGTCCCTTCACGATGCCTACTTAAGTCTTCTTTCTTCCCCATTTTATACCCCCAACACCCCCATCGATCCCTCAGAATCCCCCGCTGCTAAGAAATTCGAGGAAGTTGTTGATACTCTTCTTGAATATCCCTCACAAATTACGACGTCCAATCTATGATGAAAAAATTTTTCTGTTTGCCTTTTTTTATTATTTTTCTTTAACAACGTTACGTTGGAATGATGCCTCTTTACCACGGTTCCAGTACTAATATCTATGGCTATTTGTGTAAAACGCCCTTACTGTTTTACTTTGGTCGATTGTCTGTCTACAATGTAACGCAAGAGTCGTCTTGTCAAACAAGCCAATAGCATTTGTAATTTTGTGAACCTCACTTGTTAAATCAAATATGCGTGATATGTCAATTCATTTTAGTGAAACTTGGCCTAGTTCTTCGAACATGTTTGTATCCAAGCTTTGCAGGCTTTTGATATACTCCAAATGTTCAAGCCAAGCTGTCTCAGTTGTCTGCGTGATTGCGCTTTTGTCGGGTGTAAACTACTAAGAATTGTGTTATATCGTATTGCCTCCTGAGCTTGATATGTGATTAGATTCGGTCACCCTCTCTTGAGTCTCATCGTGTGCAAAGTCAGTGGGAGACAACAGTAGAATCCGGGCTGTGTCCACCATGTATCGATTGCAACAACTATTTATGCTCTAATATCTCCTACTGAATAAGAATTCAAAATGTTTCCAGTTTGTCTGTTTTATAGGGTCATAATGTGCTTGTTATCCATTCGAGAAACACTCATTGCTGAAAGATCAGAAGTTATATCACTGTTAAGTATCTGTCGAGTTACCAACTTTGGGCCATCTGCGGAAGTCCAAGAAAATATGCGTTTATTTACTCACCATGATCACGTTGTGTTGCGTTGTCATTTAGCCAAAGATTTTAACATGGTACTGATTAGTCGTAGTCAATAAAGTCTAATACAACTGTGCGAGGGGTGTGAAATTTAGCGCCATCAAATAGATTGCAATTTTAAACGTAATGTAATGATGTATTAAGGACGTAAAGCGCAGATTTAGTGTCTAAATTGTAGATATGTCCTATCGACGACATTTCACCCCGGATCGTAGGCACTCGGGCGTTCTGTTAAAGCTTGAAAAAAGATGTTGGCCGGTGAATTCATCTATTCCAATGTTGCCCTATTTTTGGTACTCAGGGGTCATCAGTCATTTTCCTCGGATCAAACGGGAAAGGAATATCAGTCACTACCGTTATTAGGATGCTCGAGGTGAAATTTTTGGCCTCGGCATTCCTCTTGGTGACACTTATAGATTGCAGATATATTCTGTCGAAGGTGATCTTAAACGTGCTGGATCTACGTGTATGAGTATCCTCTAGGCAGGAGATAATGCGGTGACATGGGCTCTTTGTTTTAAGCTAGCATGATAAATGCTAATGACCTCACTTGGGCACGAGGTGCTGCCAGGGACTTTGGAGGGATGAATGTCCACTTAACCTCAGGAGGGGACATGATTGACAAAAAAGTATGCGTTGCATTGTAATCACACCTAGTGGGACAGACATCTCGGCTTAATACAGGTGATTGTGGCGGTTGTCTGGGAGGATTAATATCCCTGGGTTGAAAAATGTCAGGCATATATAGAGGTCGGAGTTGTGCAGCTAAAAAAAGTTAGGATGTCGATCATGTATGTGAAAATTCGACACGAATTATGTAAGGCCTCTTCTGTGAGGTTGTTTGCCTTAGCAATTTTAGGTGGGGGTAATTTTTGCATGGAATCAATGATCACCAAACGGAGGTGACCACTATCGTCGCCTCACCCTAAAGTTTGCGTGCAGTGCTGTCTACCTTAATGAGCACGACATCACCTTAATCACGCAAATAAGTTGATTTATTGCCCATGTTTATCCCCAGGTTGCTTTTAATGACGCAGTTTTTTAGACACAAAGCATTTATTGATACTTTCGGATGTCGATTTTTGTAATCTGTCGTGAAGTGAAAGACGTCAAAATTGCCTCCCACAACCAATCATTGTGGAGTGTTCGTTTTGGGATATTGAATGCTGGTCCCTAGAAAAAATTTTGGACAATTTTATTATATGACGATTCGAGGTATGACTAACTTCTCAATAAAAAGTATGTGCTTGCATGCGTATAAATGAAGGTGAATAGCGGTGGTCAAAAATTGTTTTAAGATAATGGGGTTGCTAAAATAAATTTCCCGAGGATCAATTGAATCCCAATTATTATTATAAAGCGTTTTCTATAAAAAGAATTAACAAAACATGACATTGGTATAATTTTGCATGCCAAGTTTTCGCCTCCCGTTTCTTCGAGCATTAAAACACGATCAGAATATGAATCAAGTCTTTTAAGCTCATTTATAAGCTGCTGTGCTAAATCTCAGCAGAAATTTTTGGCATTTTCTGCTAATTGATCTTATTTAAAAAAGACCCTTTACCAGAAAGCGCTTTTAGTTATCCTAGTTTTTCAAGAGTTCATTATTTGAGAAAAGCTTAACTGCTCGGAAACCAGTATACGTGATATTTATTTTAATTCAGATATTGAAACAAGGGCGTACACTATATTCGTTTAATGCATGCCATGCGCGTGTTACTTGCTTTTACTCGCAATATGGCATAATGAATTTGCTGAAATGGATATACGTGCATTGAGCGCGAGGACACATTAAGTGTGTACTTAATTCCATTAAACATAGTTGCACAATACGGTGGTTTGTGGTTTTCTGAGTGAGTGAATGCTGTAAAACAGTGCCTTGCATTTTCGAAAACTGCAATGACACTTCGAGGAAATAGCTGTGACTGAAACGGTGATAGAAGTTTGCCTAAAAATATGGCAAGTGTTGGGAACAAGGTTCTTGACCTCAGTTTTAATGACATGAAAACAAACAATCAATTTTATTTTCTTCGAAAAAGATTTTTTTACTGAAATCGAATTTGCCAATCAGGTGGAAACCTTTTCTGATATTTTTGCTGGTCAATAAAGTAACAATTTCAGGTTTTTCGATTTTGCGGAATTTGATCTAATAAATTTAGGGTGAATGGAAATGAGTAAAATGCAGCTTTTACATTATACGACTTATCAACTCAACTTTCCTTCAAAATGCTCAAACTTTTATGAGGCCTGGCTCAAGGGTTTCGCAAGCATTTTGTAATCGTGCAGACATAAACTAGTATGAGTAAATATATCAGTATTTTAGTTCTTACATTGGTCGATAAACAGATTCAATGATAAAACCGAAAATATCACGTTTAATAAACTGCTAAGGAAAGGAGCCACGTTATCTCCTGGCTACACATCTGTGCTGGGCAATTTAGCGCCTTCTTGGTGTATGTGTTACTTTATTTAATATGGAAGCTGACTTTGGTACTTGATGGCATTTAAGAATGCAAAACGCATAACTACCTAGTTGACATAACTTCAGAGGTAAAGCAGGGCTCTAGACATAATCAGAACTATCCTCAAGTGATCGACAAGATTTGTCATCAGCAAAAAATATCCAGGTATTAAGGCGGTAGACCTGGTGGTATTTTATGTTGATCACGTATGGTTGCCATGCCAGTGTGTATGTGTTTCAACTCATAACCAAATGCAGACCACTCCTACTTTACATGCGATTCACTGCCCGTCCATAATCCGCACGACTTGGCGGACTTAAATCTTTGAATTTTTGAACATTTCCAAACTTCAAGTAATGCCTCATTTACTTGCAAAGTAATGTCAACGCGACCTGTTCTCTAGTTGCCACGGTCAGTTACCACGATCTTTTTTAAAGAGATGGTCGATTGCCACGTGACCCTAATGTCTTTTCAGTAGCATTGCAAAGTTAAAATATTAGTGATAAATGGCGATTGTTGCAACCTCTTCAGAAACACAACTGTACAAAAATGCTCAAGGCGAACTTAGCGAAAATCTAATTTGCTCATCTACCGCAGGCCTGGATTTTAACAATTGCAATAGGACAAACTACTTCAGGGTCCTGTGGAATGTCGCCATTGAACCGAATCCGGAAATAGAATTAGAGCCTTATACCACAACACACGGTCACTTTCCACCACTAGCCCAGGACGTCGAAGATATCCCAAATCTCAAACCCACTTTCCGGGATCCGCTTCGACATCTTAATCTTGATCTGATCGAGAGCAAAGAGCAAAGGCTGTCTGAGTCAACTCCGATTTCTGAAAACACGACGTCCCCCAAGAGGGAAAGGCGACAAAGTACTTTTTATTTCGCGAGAGGAGGTCGAAACCCAAAAGGATTCCTACGCACCCCACCGAACAAGTATCTTCCTGTACCTCCATTGGTCCGCAGCGCGTATTACTACTCATTTGGAAGATGTCCTGTATGCGCAGGGAACATTCCTCTGATAAACCCTCACGGAAAAGAAAGCGCGGGTTCAGGACACGGTGCCAAGAAGGGTGATCGTCGGCCTGTCAGGTGTGTGAAGAATTGGACACGTAATGGTCCACTAGATCACCTGGAGGGAAAAACGCAAGTCCATACTGACAACGACACACGGCGGTCTAGTTTAACTCATCTGAGGAGTTATGTATTTGATCTCTTGAGTGTCATGCTAGAACTCCGTTCTGAGCAGGACTCTCTCATGGATGATGTTAGGGCAATACAGGAGGACCAGCAGTTAAAATCTCCATCCCCTTCCTATCAAGTTGATCTTTTCGAAGACGATGGAAGCCTCGCAACGTTTGCCTCGGCTGGGCAGCTTAACACAATCACTAAAAAGAACAGTGCAATTAACCTCCCCACAAAGAGGCACTTACGTCTCGATTCGCAGCGGTTTACTCCTCGGTACCAATTGAAAACTCGCGTTGATGATTTAAAAACCTTTTTTCCTGGGAGAATGATACTGGAAGCGAAATTGAAGGACTATGACTGCCACCTACCTCTTATTTCTACCAACACAGAAATAATGCGCGAATTGTACAAAGTAACTATAATTCAAGATCACGTCTTGAGCAGACTTTACCACCAGCGAAATTTCAGAAACCTCCCACCTGACCTTCAGTATCTCCGGAAGTATATTGGCCTGGATATAATGGAAGCAGTTGCTTTCAAGGTGAAGGACGCAGAAATGGATCGCGATCATCAGTTTTTCATTAGAACCGGAGACTACTCGAAGTCTATTTTGGCTGAGATCGCTAATCATTTCTACGAGGCTGACTTTATCTGCCTCGGGGTCTTTACCAGCTGGTTCAAATCAGCAAAGGCGGATAAGTCACTGCTTCAGCTGAAGACGCCCAAGGAGATGTCGCGATTATGTCAGTTGCTAGGAGAAGAGCTCTTTCGCTCAAATTATAGTCTTGGCGGGACGGCCAGAATGGAGCTTTTAATCGTTCTCGCGACTGCAATCAACGAACCGAAAATGCGGCATCAGATGTGGGTTCATGCTCGACAGTGGCTTGAACCCCTCATTGGAGGTCTATTTTCACGATCCAAGAGCGTTCGAGAGGAGTCCTGTTACACGTTGGCCTACATTTTCAGCATAAATACTTTGGTTGATGACATCCGACACCTGATGTCTTATGATATACCCTATGATGTAACGTGGAACGTTCTTAAGGCAATCGATCGATTTCCTGAAACATTTATGACTTACTTTGTGCTTCTCGGCTACATGATTGAAGGTTGTCCCTCAATAAGTATACTCAACTGTCTGATGGAACGGGGCCCATTATGCCGCAACAAAAACATGCAAAAGCGTTGGCCACTTTTTATTTATTATGCTATCAAACATTGGGATGCTGTGTACCTCTGCGTGGACGTTATTTACCCAACCATCCTTATGGAGAAAATGACCAACACGGCTATGAAACCGTTGACAAGGAAGCCCGCAAAGTTAGCACTGGTGGCCCTGGCCAAAAAATTCGACAAACCAGTGGGAGCTGTGACCCACTTCAACTCCAACTGGCTGCAGTCTGAAGGATCGTTGGCAGACTAGCAAAAAAATCTGCGTATTGTGCATTTTAGATTTTAGTAAAGACGAGTGTTTTGGATTTTGGCAGACATGCAGTAAGGTACGCAAATAGGCATTAGAAGACGTGAATTTAGAGGTTGAGATACTTCTGGGGAAGATGGAGCACATGAGTTTAGCGTGTTGCTGTTCACTGTCTCTTGGCTCTGCATGCGGACTTTATAACAGTATTTTTACATTTTGCAAGAGTTAACTTTACCATCAATTAGTGTGATTGACTTTAATACTTGACTTGTATAAAAATACAATAACTTGCAGTATTTAGTGAGGCACGATAACACTCTGCACTGCTTCAGGCCAGAAAAACGCCCATTCGATTTATCAGTTTTATATAATAGTCAAAGATTGGTATTTTGAATACAATATCGGTCCGCGTGCATTCATGAATGCATATTGAGTCAAATTGTTGAAAGAAATTATTGCAACTAACTTGCTTTTTCACAAAATCAACATAAAAACTTATCACCATTCCTACACCAATTGCAAATCGAAGTCAACTTCTGCAGACTAAGTTATGAACTTCCTGAATCAACGACTACTTGGTGGCTTTTAAACGCGGAGGAAAATCATTAAGCCTTAAAGAAAAATTTCAATCCACATTTGTCAAAAGATGCACCAAATAATTTTTTGATAAAACTTGTCTTGATATCGACCCTTTATTTAATCCAAAGTTACATCACGGAAACTGCTGGCTCTGCAAATGGGCAATTTTAGTTTCAAAATCCTATTTTTTGAGAGCAGGAGCACAAATATATCCTGTGGTCATGAATCACATGGTAAGTTTAAACAGTCCTGATCTCGGTAGACGTTTTTTTGATAATTTGTTCAGTAGTCATTTTTGTTGTAGTGCTAGATGTTTCTCTTTTTTGTAAATTTGGTATAACGAAAGCAATATTTTTCACCTTTCATGTTGGAACACAAAGATTTTAACACAACTAGGGCCGATTTAAAGTCAAGATAAAGAAATGGTGCAGGAACTTGGTGCTGCTCTAAGTCAACAAAGCCATTTTCCTTGATACTTTGTCTAACTTAACGTCAATTACTCAACATTTGGGCATAACCCGTAGAACTTGTTTCAATGAGGTTCACCTAGCCCTTGGTAGCTTTGAGTTGATCCAAGCATTTAAGTTGACGAAAATTTCTGCATTGCGATATTTTTGAAGATTTGTGGGGTAAACTTTGAGTGGGTTTTCGATAAAGAGCTCAAGCTTAACTTGTTAGTCATCGCCATGGAAGTCCGATTATCTGTAATGATTTACCTGAAACACAACGTCTTCTAGAACTACCAATCCAGGAAGATTGTGACTTCATGTAATTTAAATGTCTTTTTTTAAGTGTAAGTGATGATTAGGCCGTTAAAGAAATGTAACCTTTACAAAATCACTCCTCGAAAATCGCGACTGCACTTTAAGCGCACAATAAATCGTATTCTGGCAAACCCATTCACGCAGTTGGTGTTCAGTTCTTTCGTCTCCGCATGGAAACAGCGGAAAGCTCAAAATGTCCGACTCAAAACCCCTTTTGGTATTATTCATAAATAGTGTGTTCCCGAGAATTACTAAAGTAAATTTTACCTCCCTGATTTTAATGCAAAGTTGGTGAGGACACTATCTACATGAGCTTGACACATTATCGACAATAAGTAATTTAAAAAGGACATTTTAATTGACCGTCGATGAGATGGTTATCACGGGTGATTGGAACAGATTTTAGGTGCGCTGTTTTGTGCTGAGATAACGACGCGCACCAGGTGTGTTATCACTTGACAAAATAGAATCATTATAATTTGAGTTACGTGGATATATTTAAGTTACCCCTCGGATTCCCTAACTCAGACCTCTATAAACATGAAAATTGCCAATATCTCGTTAAAAGTTGCTCTTCTTTTAGCTTCAACATTGTAGACTTTTGCCTTTCAACTCTTGACAGTAGTAGAAAGCAAAGCCTTATGGACCTGAAAACCCGCTCGCCTGCATCTCATATCAGTACCAAAGCAATTCTTAGGCAATTTTTTTTAAATTTGCGCAATTTCAGTGGCGTCAAATTTATCGGATTAACCATAGCATCCATGACCACACGAACCTAAGTTGGCTCTTAATTGAAGTTGTAGTCCTGATGCAGAAATTAATGTCCTTGTCATTGTTTTATTGAAAATTTGAATGGAGTTTTTGATCAAAGTTATCTACATGTATATTGCATCAACAACTACGTACTTTGACTGAATTTAACCAGCCAGATGGAGCTCAGCTCTATTTAAATTAACTCATGATAAATTTTTTCATAAATTTACTTTTATAACCACCGACTCATTTTCAAGTCGGTATAAAAAAGAAACACGAGAAAGGAATTCTCTTTTTGTTTTAGACATTAGAAGGCCTACGAATAGACCCACATTTTAGCGATTGGTTGTCACCCATTCTATGCCACTATAACTAAACCAAGTAATAATTGCTTGATGCGAATTTGCATGAAGTTATGGAGCGTCTTATCAAATAGGGACCTCATTTTATGTGATCTCTTCCCAAAGCTGCTTCCCATAAAAGATTAACATGTGCCAAACAAATTTTGTTTAGCTGAGCACATGAAATCGGTAAGTTTTCAGAAAAGAGTAGGTGTTATAAGTTAAGGGATGCAAATTACTACTTAAATGGAAAAGGCAAATACGTATATTTTGATAGTAGCAAATACAAAAATCAACACTAAGTGGTTGCACCCCACTAATGCAAATGCAAATTACATGGACTGGTAAAAAGCACAGGTGTTAAGGAATAACAGTAAAGAATAAAAAGAGTAAAGACAAAAGCAGAGATAAAAGCAAGTCCAGTTTGCGCATTTCCCCACTATTGCAACCTTGTTTATTGTTACAGTAACAGTAGCGCGCCACAACTCGCTGCGTTCCCTCAACCGTGTGACACCAGCGTCCCTCCTCGGCTCCTATTTCGCCCTCAACTGCACAGTTTCGTTCGATCCTTCGGATCCATTGCCGGTTGTGGTACACTGAAATAAGTTGAAAACACCCTTTTGCCAGACCTTGCATAAAACTTATAAACTTTGAGCCTTGTTGTTCCCATAATTATTACCACAATGCAATATTACATCTATGTGTTACATCATCAATAATGTTGAATACTAAGGACGCTAACTCCGATAATAGAATCCGATTGACTCCTACTCGTGAATTTCGGGGTATTACAGGTACGAAGTTTTTTCAGCTTAGATTTATGTTATCATGTTTTTGACCATTTTACTGCATACAAGCACGTAGCTAAATAATGTAGCTTATGACTTAGTCTTGTTTGCATATGATAGAAATATAACTTAGCCGATTTGCATAGGCAAACGATTTGACAGTACGTAGGACAAATTATAGTCGAATGAGAAAAGAGCCAAAACTTAATTTTATATGACAAAAAGGCACTTACGTAAAGTAGCAGACCACAACAAAATCATATCTTGTTTTGATTACAGTCTAAAAAGTGTTTGTATTGCATTGGTATCATGCAATTTGAGTTTCGATTTCTCAGTTAACATTTTACGTGTATTTCATTATTAATAGTAAAAAAAGAGATAAAAAATGGTAACTAGCATCATTTACAGTTAGTCAGATTGCTTAAACTTGCAGCAAATAATAATAGGAGCGTTAAATAATCTGTACTTATATAAATAAAGCATTGGACATCAATGCACATTTTGCACGAACAAAGCAACTAAAATATGTATCTAAAAATGAGAAAAGTTACCGTCCTGAGTAAAAACTTACGCTCAACAATTTTCTTCATGCATCTCGAGTAATTCTGCCCATTATCTTGACATGGTTCCAGTATGAAAGTTCTGTTATCAAAAGGATCACCGCAGTGGGGTTGTGTTAGCGAGTTGCATTGGTAGCATTTCAGCTTTGGTCCAAAACCCAAACTTTGAGCACTACACACCGTAACAGCGAAAATCACCCACACAGAAAGGTAGAGCATGGAATTTCCCATTCCAGGAGGGAACTGCACGCGATCGTGCAAACGTGAAATTAGAGTCAAAGCGCCGCTATTTATAAATTATTAGCTATTTGTTAATTAAAACTTAGTAGGGCTAGAATGATCAATCATCGTTGCTGTTTTAAAAGACTGTAGATTCATAAAAATCCACAAAATTATCTGCGAAAAGACCTGCTAGCTACAGCTTTTGGTGTACTCTGAGTTTCATAAAAATTTGGCAGGTTCATCCGAAATCTTCAGACTACATCACATGCCATTTTGATTAACTGGAGTAATTGGAATAGAATATTCTAAATTCATATTTATAAACGAAGAATTAGTTTGATGGGTCAGTTTTTATTGTCCCTTGTTGCACAGTACTGACGAATGACATTTTTAAATTTTTTTGAAATTACTACTGACGATAGACTTTACTACCAGGCACCGAATAGTCTTGTAATCATAATTACGCCTGATCTAATCAGTGATACTAAATCCAAGACCTTTTGCGTCACGAATCACGACGTTTTAACTACATGGAACAACGGAACTGTTTTTCTTTTCATAATATTCATAATATTTCGTTTCCTCATACCGAATGGAGGCAATCAGCATTCAAAACGAGGACATTTGACTTTGCATAAGCTGACTTGCAGACAAGTGACTAAACTTCAAAGCCACTTGATGTAATCTTGGCCTCCAGCACCTGTTGCATTCTACTAAGCGAATATTGTCGAGACAAAATTGAATTTTCTTTTTTATTCTACAGTTCACTGAATATGTTTGGCATTTTAACTATGCGCATGAGTAATTGTAACTGCTTTCTAATTTATTTACTTACATTTATATTAATTTATTATACGAAATCTATTTTATTTTTGTTTTGTGTTCCCAAAAACAGTTTTTGGTACCCCTGGTTTCCTGTGCATTCCTGGATCTTAGATTGTTGTGGGCCCCAGCATGTGGTACTGAACCACGCCGGGGCCACGGAATTAACCCTGG